GCCATTAATCTTAGCTTATCAGGTAATGCATTCCAAGCCTTAGCAGCAATGTAAGAAGTTGATTTGAGGCCGAAAGTTGTGGTCTTAGCTACAGGTAAAACAAGTTTGTTTTTGCCCCTAAGATTTTTCTTATTTTCTCTTACTTGAAATAAAGATTGAATATACTGAGGCATATTGTTATAGAGGGCTTTAAAAATGATTAAAAGCATATCTTGTTTCCGTCTACAACTTAATGAGTAACCAATCTTATAACATAGACTATCATATCCGTTGGAAAAGTCATTAAACACGTATCTAAGGGCCCTCTTATGTAATCTCTCTAACCGGTCACTATCTTCTTTGAGACAGCTATTCCAAACAGAACTACAATAAGTAAAGTGAGGCATGATAAATGCCCTATATATACGTATCTTTGACGAAAACGAAAGAATGTGTTTGAATCGATTAAGTACATCAATTTGTTTACCTACTTTCTTAATTAACCTAGATATATGACTCTTAAAATTTATCTCGATAAGATGGAGAAGCACGCCACCTCTTCCGCCATTGACGCCCACGTCCTTGTCTAGTGGGGAAAGGACCTGCATAGTCCACCACAGTCTGGTCAAATGCACGAAATGTGAAACGCAGCCTTGTGGTAATGGCCGCATTATCTGTGTGGCCGGCTTGTTCCTTCTTCTCTGGCACTCACTGCATTAATTCTCCCATGCCCTTCTCTCCTCACGCGTTGCAACAATCCAGAATCTTCCACTAATCTGCGATAGCACAAAGTTTGTCCCAGCACTGTGGTTAGACAACTCATGGTAATGCTTTACTATCAGTCTCGTCACCCACTGACCTGTTGGCAGTATAATGGGAAACCTAACATTGTACGGAGGACATTCGGCAAATTGAAGTCGACCACCACATCGTAGAACACCTTGATCGTCCAGCCAGGGACATAGCCTACTCAGTGAACTCTTCTTTGGAATCTCCTTTCCTGTCAATAATGCGATATAATCTTCATGAAATGCCTCCAACTGTGCTCGACTAATAATTTCCTCCTCTGCATCTTCAATTTCTTCTGGCAACAGTTCTTGTCCTTTTATCCTTTCCCTTGGATTGCGCATATCGTAGATCACTCGCCACACCCTGGCCTGTAGCCACAATAAGCGTGTCCAACTTGAAAAGCGTGTGGGTTCAAGCCTCCAGTT